CAAAGAATTATCATTATCACGCATTAGCCCATCCTTCAACAGATTTTGTACTGTTCATCTCTCCGATCATTTCAAAAGAGTGTTAGGTACAAGTATATATTCTGGTGTGCCACTTTTCGAATTAATTTTTAAAACGTGACATACATATTATGGTACACCCCGAGAAATAAAAGTGAAGTTAGATGCAGTGGAAAATGAATATCCAATCGTACATTACAGCTGTTGATTTACACGTGGACTCGCCAATGATCGTTAGGGCCTATATTTGGAAACAAGACATATATTGAAGGAACCTGATTTTTTTTTTATTTCTTCAGAAGAATATTTAGTAAAAGTGTCCTCAGAACCTTGCCACTTTGCGAATGATTCAAAACGTGACATACATAAAGTGTCAAAGTCAATATTTATAGAAATGTGTTCCTTCATTTCATCCTATGCTCCTTAACTAATACAAAGTGAATATTTATAGAAATTTGTTCCTTAATTTCATCCTATGTTCCTTAACTAATTCAAAGTGAATATTTATAGAAATCTGTTCCTTAGTTTCATCCTCTGATCCTAAATTAATACAAAGTGAATATTTATAGAAATTTGTTCCTTCATTTCGTCCTATGTTCCTAAACTAATACAAAGTTTATATAATTTCATATAATAGTTCCGAAACTTATACTTTGATTTGGGTTATTTATCAATCGCGATGTATCGTTTTCAAAGTCTCGTTCCTTTACATCTTAAATCACTCATTACATCTTTGTTTTCTTTACTTCAGGGTATGTTATAATGGTAGCTTTCCGTTTGAAGTCCGGCTATAACCATTACCACATCGTCTTTTCCACCAATATGACATTTTGTTCTACAAATTGACATCTGAATTATTTCCACTAACAGGCGTTACTTCTGATGTGATTGCCTATCACGTGTTATTTGATGCACCTTAAATTTGCTCTGTCGAATATGATATATCTGATAAGGTTATGTTGCTCTGTTAGCCATAATAATACAAGGATAGGTTGAGTTTTTATCACACAAAATCCAATTGATGCATACATTATAGTTTTTTTAGCCATATATTAATGGAATGTGATATCAGCTTCAATCTTTAATGAGTTGATGTGATTATAAGGCGAAATTAAATTATCATGGCTGAACAAAATTTTAGTCTGAGGGTAACGTCGACGAAACTTAAGGCGCTAACAATTCCGGAACCTCTGACGGTACTCGCTCTGTACTTTATAATTGTTATGCTGTTTCTACTTATCCTTAGCCATCAATTCAGTGAATGTACAATATATAGTATGTGTTCAAGGCTTTCCAGTCTGTTAAATGGTTTAGCGCAACCTTATACAGATAACATAATTTTCATAATAATATCATAATATCGGTTCTTGTCGGGACTTATTCTGAAAAGAAAGAACTTTGAGCCAAGTCATTAGCAAGCACTTTAAAACGATATCCTCCCAAATCTTCCGATTTATGACAGAAGCAGGGACACCAGTGGAGTTTTCCTTGGAAAGTCATACAAAAACTAAATCATGTTTTTATTTATCATCTTAATAATCTCCCGGAAAACTTGATATTTCTTTCATCAAAAATAATCTTATTTCTTGTGCAAATGTTCCATGCATAATGTATGAATGTTTGTGTTGACCTTAAATAGTATCGAAGAAAGTTGGCACTTTGATTTTTGGTTTAAAAAATCTTAAAATATCGACAACCTCGGACCTAAATATCATTTTCTTGTTCATATAAAGGAATTTTGTCACTACTAGTGAGTCTAAAAATAGTAACGGTATGCATACCACGCAAAAATACGCTTTCATTTTTATTTTAGTAAAGAGTTGCCATTTATCTGTCAACTAGAATCAAATATGTTCAAATACATTACATATATGCTTGTTACTTAGACGAGAAAATATGCGCCCAAATCAAAGAAGGAATGTACGGAGGACGAAATAATCGAGTTTGTGGTTAGCAACATTTTCGTCGAGTTAGAGAGATCTTCCCACAGTCTATAGGCATTGCTATGGGAACTTACCGTGCCCCTCTGTCTGCTGACTTGTTTTTGTATTCAATGTCGCTGAATCTATTGAAGAGCTTATCAAAACAAGTCACAAAGACCTTGGAAAGTCGTTTAATTTAAATGTCAGATATATTGATGACGTCTTTTCTTTAAATGGCAAGATATTTATGTACCATTTCCGTCGTATATGCCAACGAGTACTGAGAATCAATGGCACGGCAGATGATTTTTAATTTCCTTATTGTGAATTTTTCATTTCTGTTTAGCAGTATCTCCGCATCTCCAACCTATGGCGTATACACCTGACAGGTGATTCAATATTCAACGGACTGTTACCATTATCTCGATCTTCGTGCAAGAAGTTGTCAACTGACGGCCAAACTCATAACAAAGGGTTTGCTGAAAAATATAGTGATGTTTTACAGTCGTCATAGTGGTATCATCGGGTGTTTGATGCTTGTTGGTTTACCTGTGTCTTATGTTGCCGTATAACTTGTTTTCATCATAGAATATTGCAAAACTTACTCGGATTGACCAAGATATTTTTATCGAAACGCCTTATCTTATTTTCCTTCTTCTTTTTTCAGAGGTTTCTGTCTATATCTTATTTTTGTTCATATTTTGCCTCGTTCTTATTGATTTTGAGTCTGAATCATGGTTAGATTGAGTTGTTGTTCTTTGCTTATCGTCTTATTAGAAAACATTATGACGATGTTTTATACGTTGTGTAATGTTCCGCTATGGAATCTTCGGGAAGGTAGAACATAGTGGCAGGAAACGGAACTCTAGATCCAAACTTGGCGGACGGGGACCTTCTTATTATTTTCTAGAGAATGAGAAAAGTATGAACAAAATTGACATGCCTCATTTGTATTTGTTTCAGTTTCATGATACCGGAAATACGTGTGATAAAAACGCCTGTCGCTATACATTGTTATACATTTTGACAGTGTCTTACTCCTCTCTGATCATCATGTAAGATTATTAAGCTACTACTTGTAATAATTAACATTCGCGCCGTCTCCGCGGATGTGCCAGGGTGTCGTCCTCCAGAATGCCAGAAATACAATACAATTTAATGTTCAATATAATTGGTCGTGGCTTCATTTGAATTAAGCTTCAATGTTTCCGACAAGTTTTTGTTGATATGTTGACGTTTGAGTACTTGTTGTGTACAGATTGCATAGTTCTGCCTCAGTTACTTGTACCTAATATGATCTAGCATGATAAACGCAGATAGTATAACAGATGGATAAGCGATTCTATTTTTAGATGTTAAATCACATACCAGATTGATTGGTGTCATCGTCAACTTGGCTTAGTTAATGAAGTTGATGTTGACGAAACCGTTTATCACTCTAGAATGATGAAAGTCCTGACCGTGCTGGCCCTATGCTTTTTAATGGGCCTTTATTGGTCCGTTGTTTGTGGAGTTAGAATCTAAGTTTTGAGTTAGATTGAAAGGGACATGCTCACCAAGTCGTATCCTGTTACACTTTTTCAACCTGTGTCATGAAGTGACATCAACCTTCTTATCTAATTTAATTGTATTTAGTTACTTTCCTGCATATTTCATAATAATTGATTAACAGGTTACATAATAGACCTCATTTTTGTTCAGACAGAAAGTTTATGAATGACAACATGTCTATTTCATTTCGCTACTGATTCATAGCACGTTGGAACTATCATCCTTAGTGAGTTATCATCTTTATTGTTCACGCCTGTAAATCTGTATATATATATACATGTACAACGATGTAACAGCTTGGTATGTTAACAAAATTGGTTTAAAACGTTTTCGCTATTCTCGCTGCTTTAATAGAAAGATTGAGGTAGAAAAAGTCCTGTACAATCCATTGTTATTTGTATTCTGAAATTCGAAACCCTAACCCCACCCACCCCACCCCCTCCCCCTGACTGCCTCATCTCTGAACTGTATAATATGTATAAGATAGCTATTTTGAGCATTCAATATCCGACATCTTAATTAAACATGTTATTTTGCATTATCATTTGATATTGTTGTAAATTTACGGTTAGATGTCAACATTCCTGACGTATGACTTAAAGCTGCTTACAACATGTCAATTTGTCTTTATTTTTGTCCTGGTTCAGATTTCCGTCTCTTCTACATTTCTTTAGAAGTATGTACATCAAAATACACAACATCGGCATGTTTAGTTAATTATCTAGTTAACCTAGTTTACGATAATGTTGAAAACTTTTTACAGCCGATCTAGTTTCAGAATACTTATTTAGATTAGCCATTTTTCTCTGTTTGATTACTTTGAAGAGATCAAATAATATATCAATTTTGTCATGATTTCATTACCAGGTATTGATTTAAGAAGTTCTTTGTAGCATAGATGTGATCACGGATAGTTCTTGCATGAGTTTCCTTCCATAACAAATTAAGAAAATGGGCATTATCATTTATTTTTCATTTTACCGAGCGTATGGCGAGTTAAAATATATAAAGACTTGACGAGTTTCATCACAATCATGTAAAATGGATATGAATTGAAGATCCTGGTTATCTTTGTAAGTAATAAGTTGGATCCTTTTCAAACGTCAGTTAAAACAGTATTTTATTCATAAGTGATTTTACATTCTATATTTCATTCTTTACAATACATACGTCACAATGGAAATATTGGAAAGCATCAGCCAATCACAGCTCCTCTAAGTCATATCACTTCCATCAGAAAAAAATATGTAACAAGCGATATTACATTGAAAATAAAGTATTTTTTAATAATAAAATTGGTAGTTTGTTTAAGAACTTATTTACATTATTAACGCCGCTAATTCATGGTTGGTAAACATTGGTGTGTCATAATAATTTCATTAAAGTACAGGCTGATTGGTTTCCATTAGACGAATCGATAAGTAGGTAGTGACGGACAAACTGAGAAGTTTTATTTCTGGTATAGTCAGTATGTAACATCGTTAATAAAGTTGTGAATATCACACCTACCTCCACCGTTTTTATAACAGATGTACGGAAACCTCCAAACATTTCCGAGATCCACAGCAAATCCGACCACAGACAACAGGAAGTCGATCTTCTTTCCCCATGTCTCTCGTTCCACTTCCTCCTTCTTTTCGGCCACCACCATGGTGCCGTCCAGAATTGGAGTACTAGGTCCTAAGGGTAACTTTTCCTGTTTCTCCATTACTTAAGGGAATTTCACAGAGAGTAAAATCAATCAGATCAATATCAATCCAGCAGCAGAAAAAACGATGCACCACACCGTCGCCAGGTGTCGCCACTAAGGAAACAACACCGCGAGAACAAACTGTGTAACTTGATGAGGTAGCGTGAATCACAGAACTCTATCACCAGTCATAATGTGTAAATGAACAGACATTAATTAATAAGTGACGCTACGTCCCCGTGGTTACATAATGTTCTGAAGACATGTTTCCAGCAACAACAAAAACTTGTTTCTCATGTAAATAAAACCTATCAGTTTCAGTGGAAAATTAACACAACTTTTTTTGTTTGGCAGATATCATACAAGACCGTGTTACTTGTAGGCAAAACGGAAGTGCTATATGCGACTGACTCTCAGTATAGCTGCCGACACGACTGCATCATAAAAGCCGCGTGTGCACGGGACAGAGCGACATGCAGAGAGTGACATCAGGAATTGTGACATTCAAATGAGCCGGGTAAGAATGTGACGGCGCACGAGCGAGGCAGGCCAGGTTCCCTCCACAATGATTGCTGGGTGGTAGCGGAAATGTTTTATGTATAAGTTATTTGAACTGTAGAGGCGAGGGATAACTGCCCTTAATTAAGATGTGACATGGGGCCCCACCGTGATCCTCCCGTTACTATCGCACTCCGACGGATATTCGTAACGACATATTTTGTGTATTGCATACATTTTGATTGCCTTATTAGAATAGCAACAAGTCCCTACATCGATCGTGTTCACGGAGTTCGTATTTCTCTTCAAGACAGACTTAAGTCACAAAATGCTCAGGAAATACTGCCTATGAATAAAACTCGCCAAAATACTTAAATGTGTGTCAGAAGTGTCCAGTAGGACGTGTTCTGTCTGTAAGGACCACTCTATTGCAATTCACAACTTCCAATTGTTCTATGCATGTCAGAAGTGACCGCATTCGACATAGCGTAGTGTCAAATGGTTGGGCGTCGTTTCGTTTTGATTTCAGACGGGCGTGGATCATCCTTATAATGTTATACAATCATTTTCTAACAGGATCGAATAACAGCTGCGATACAAAGTCTTGATGGCAGATATGTGATGCAGATTAAAAATATGTTGTTTGTTTCAAATGCTTGGCAAATTGTATTTGTAAACAAATGTTGTCGAGTTCCAGTTTTAGCACCATGAATTGATATTAGAATAAAAAAAATCCGTTACGGAATACAAAGCTTTTGATTTTAAACCTCCGCCCGTAACCATCATGTTTCGTCCATCGTCGTGCGTCATGCGCATTGCGCCGTCTGTTAGCGTAACTTTTTCAAATTTGAAACTTATTCTCAAGTTGTTATCCACGAGACTTTTCAGGTCACCTGACTTATAACTATCGTGTTTCGTCTGTCGTCGTGCGCCTTGCACCGTCCGTCGTTTGTCTTGTGCAAAGTTTTCAAATTTTAAATTTCTTCTCAAGTTAAGTCAGGATTGGAAACCTACAAAATATTGCTATTATTTAGCCTTGTCGAAAGTTTAAAACGAGAGCCATGTCGTCCATTTTGTAACATGACTGCCCAATCATTGTTTCCGAGTTTAAACAATGGGATTCTGGTGAACTTGCAGAAAATGATCCTGAAAAGGTCCTAATCAAGTGTATTTCTGGGTTATTCAAAGTATCCAATAGGGTCATGAACAAAACACAATTTAAACTTCTTAAGTTCCGCTGATGGAAATTGCTAAAGATGTCATAGAAAGGAAGCCTACAAAGTGTTGCTATTTTTAGACATCATCGAACGTTCAATATGGCAGCCACAGCAGCCATTTTGTAACGTCATTTTATATTGAATATGAATTTCCTTTACAAAACCTTATTTTTGTTATGACATGATGCAGACTGTACTCAATTGGCAAATTTAGGATAAAGTGTGGTACTATCTGTAACAATCTAAAGGAATCGAGAGTAAGGATAAATTTCTGGAAACAGAAAACTTACAGGAAAATTTGATTTTGATGAACATGACGTCATCGTGATACTTGTTATCTGTTCTATACTGATATAAGTAGGTGTACACTGAAGCGGTAGTATCATCTAGTTCGTAGTTGGTGTCATAGGATATATTAGCTAATCACATTCAATGATATAATAACATTCCTTATCATTTACACATTTTTTTTGTAAAACTCACCCTGTATGTATACTTACATTTGTACCTAAGATGTGGTTATTTATCTAACACCCACCACCCATCCTTCAGCCCCACCCCTTCAGCCCCAGCCCCACCCCCAAATCCCATACCCCCAACTTGTATTCAGATCCAAAGTGTATCAACATCTTGTAACAGTTCAATGCTTACATTTATCTGAAGTTTTCGTAATCGGAAACACTTCACAAATTTTACATTTCACTGTGTTAGTTAAATGCTGACGTCAGCGAGTTTAACTCTAAGGACAGTCTGAAAAGTATAGTTTCTCGGGTCACCATAAACAGCAATCTTATTCAACAATATGAACCTTATGATTTTATAATTATTTTTTGTTTTTGTATAAAAGGAGAAAGATGTAGCAAAACACTTAATGATAGATATAAAGTTATGTAATGAGCAGTATGTATTACTAAGGAAGGTCTCAAGCAGATGACACGGAGCGATGTGTCTAGAGCCTTCGTCGACAACGTCTGACCTTTCATCTCTTTAACTTAGTAGATCCCAGAAATGTATTGTACAGATGTATCACTTCATTGATTGCTGACTATAGTTGTTATTTTACTTATTCACTTTATTTCAAATCAAGAAAACAAGCATGGATTTGAGCGACGCAAAGTAATTTACCAAACGGTAGCAACCCGTCTATTTATTATCGAAAGTACTGTTCGTATTTCAAAGGCTCAAAGATATACTTTATAAAGGCAACAAAAATATTCTTTACTTGAACAGTAAATCGATGGCATATTGTTTGGAAGTTAACAGGCTGTTTCAAGAGTCTACGACAATGTCTTTGAGGATCTAACTTCTAATTGTGATAAAAATACATTAAGTAAGGGCTTTACATATAACAATGTAAGTGTCCTTCTGATTTGACCAAAGGATCAATTTAGTGTGACATCAATTGTTTCAACAATCACTTTGCCTGACCATAAATCCACAAGTATAATATTTGACAGATTAGATATTTCTTGGCTATAAGTAAGTTTGCGGTGTAGTCTACTATGTCTTATTATATTGATTTTGTTTGCTATTTCCGTATATATATATATTATATACATTGTGTATTTAACTGGTGATTTTTTTTTATCAAATTACTATTTATTGTAACTACACATACATTTAACATTTTTTTACAATAAATTTCCTTATTTATTATCAAACAATTCCTCATTTAGAATGTGGCCGAGATGTACCGGTAGACTACTTTCCTCGGAGTGTGACGTGCAGTTGTTTTCGTTGCGATCACATATACGCTTAGTGTCCAGAGTGCAAAACATACCGAGATTGATATAAAACATGTTAGATATATCACCATTACCCATTCGCCGTCGGCGTCCATCGGCCGAAGGGATTATCCAGACACCTAGATTTACACCACCGCTCTCGATTTAGATTCATAACTTTGTATTTGTTTTATGTTCTATGTATGTTATGTAATTTATGTAACATTTGTGTTTTGATAAAGGCAGAGGTTGCCTCGAAAACTTGACAATTCGTTTGTCCGTACTGTAGCTATTTCTTCATTGGTCATGTTTTTATACATACTGTTTGTCTATTGGAATATGAATTTAATGTGTGGCTAAACTGTGGTATGTTTGGCCAAAGATAAATCGGTGATGCATTTTTACCTGGGTACAATGTATGTTTGTTCAGAATTGACGCCACTGCGGTATTTTTTGTCCAATATTGATGAAGCTGTGGTATATTTTGTCCAATATTGATGAAGCTGTGGTATTTTTTATCCAATATTGATGAAGCTGTGGTATTTTTTGTCCAATATTGATGAAGCTGTGGTATATTTTTATCCAATATTGTTGAAGCTGTGGTATATTTTGTCCAATATTGATGAAGCTGAGGTATTTTTTATCCAATATTGATGAAGCTGTGGTATATTTTGTCCAATATTGATGAAGCTGTGGTATTTTTTATCCAATATTGATGAAGCTGTGGTATTTTTTGTCCAATATTGATGAAGCTGTGGTATTTTTTGTCCAATATTGATGAAGCTGTGGTATTTTTTATCCAATATTGATGAAGCTGTGGTATATTTTGTCCAATATTGATGAAGCTGTGGTATATTTTGTCCAATATTGATGAAGCTGTGGTATTTTTTGTCCAATATTGATGAAGCTGTGGTATTTTTTGTCCAATATTGATGAAGCTGTGGTATATTTTTGTCCAATGTTGATGAAGCTGTGGTATATTTTGCCCAATATTGATGAAGCTGTGGTATATTTTTGTCCATTATTGATGAAGCTGTGGTATTTTTTGTCCAATATTGATGAAGCTGTGGTATATTTTTGTCCAATATTGATGAAGCTGTGGTATATTTTGTCCAATATTGATGAAGCTGTGGTACTTTTTGTCCAATGTTGATGAAGCTGTGGTATATTTTGTCCAATATTGATGAAGCTGAGGTATTTTTTGTGCAATATTGATGAAGCTGTGGTATTTTTTATCCAATATTGATGAAGCTGAGGTATTTTTTGTCCAATATTGATGAAGCTGTGGTATTTTTTATCCAATATTGATGAAGCTGTGGTATATTTTTGTAAAAAAACTGATGAAGTTGTGGAATGCTTTGCCAGGGTTGATTGAGCGGAAGTAAATTCGGTTAAGAATTGATAAAGCTGCTGTACAATGTCCAGATTTTATGAATGGACGGTATGTTTTATCAACAAGTGATGAAGACCAAGGTCTATAAAATTATTTTCTTGTGTTGACGATAAATTTCGTCCTTGTTTGCTGACCCTTCTGAATGCTATAGATTGTAATGTGTTGTTTCCTATATTGTTACAGGGT